TCCCATAATGCCTTGCAAGGAGAGCTCTCTGCGCAGAGCATTCTGAAATATATCTTCCTCTTTTGAGGCCTTTCTTTTCTTCTCATGCACTTTGTAGACACTTTTTCTCTTACATTACATTTAATAAGAAATGTGGTTAGAAAAGTGAGCTTCAATGACTGGCTGAAACCATAGCTCAACACAGATATACGCCTCAAAGTGTGCATGCTTTTTTTCTGAGTGCAGTATTTTGGAGAGCTAATAAACCAGCACCCTATAGAAGTATTCAAAAGCTCTCTTAAGATGAGCTCAGTCTGCCCTTTATTCAACACATTTTAAAATATAAGCTTGTGATGGAAACTGCAATTCGGAACACTAGAATCCTAGGATTCCAGGATTTTTTGAGGCAATTTTTTGTTGTGCTTTACTCAAGGCAGTTTTTGCGAAACTACAGTGAGGCAGCTGTCACACAGTCATCTCTGCATCTTAAGGGTCATTTAAACTCTGCTAGACTATTCAGAGCTACATGACCTTTGGCCCCAAAAAGGTGGCTGCAAACTATTGTCCCCCAAGGTATGGATGGGAAAAAACAAGTTTGAACTCTAATGAGACATTTTCCCGATGACATTTTTGTTGTTCTTTTACTTGCTCGCCTCACAGATAGCTCTCTGCAGCTGCCTCAGAGGTTTGACTCTATACTCACTGCCTCTGATGTCTGTCTTTGAATGGGCATACAATGTGTTGTGCCTTCAGCTGTGATCTGTTCCTTTCTACCATCCAATTGTTTTATAATCCAGGAGCAAAAAAGTTTCCAGTGAAATTTTGATTTTGTTGGATAAGGAAAAATATGACCTCAACATCTGTTGGCTGCTATGGGGCTCACCCACATTTCCTGCTTTGATCATCTTTTCAGCAAGTGCTCCCTGTGTCTTTTTCCTGGTGTAACTAGCCATCCAGGCATATATTACATGTGTTATTAAAATAGCTCAATTATCATTGAGAATTAAAGTCTTCGATATTCTACCCTTTGACACACTTGGTTTAATCTATGGCCATCCAGTTATGGTAGTTCTGACCAAAATGCTCTTTTTCTTTAAGTAAATTGCACTTTGTGGTAAAGTATTGTCCCTTTCGAATATTTTAATGAGTGCATATCTGAAAGGGAGACTGAATTTGCTTAAAAACTCCATGGATGATAATGAGTAGTCTCTCATATCCATCTGGTTCATATAAGCTTTTCACGGAACTCGTTTTCTTTGCTTAAAGTCAAAACAGTTTGGACAAAGACTGACCCCTTTCAGCTCACAAAACCTGTTCTTGCTTAGGACACGTTCACACACACACAGGTCTGTGCAGTGGTGACTGGGATGTGACCTGGGTCAGCCAAAGATGTAACGCTATAAAGGTCAAAGTGTGCGAATATATTCGGATACAATCCAGTCAACTTTGAGTTTCAGCCGTCTCAAGTGTCACAAGAGGGGCTGGATTTCACAAGCAATTTAAGATTCTAGTTCCATAAAGGGACAAAAGATCCAGATTTGGCTATATTGTTTGTGTCTTGCTGTCACCCTTAATGTTATGCATATCCCTTATCTGGGATACAGATGGCTGTTTCTCTTTAATATGGTTTACCAGTCTAAAAAACATGTCTTTGTTGGTAAAGGCTGTTGGTACATGAATGTTCTGGAAACAGGAAATTGGGGATGTTTGCATGAGTCTTAGCTGCTTAATGCCCTTCAGTCTCTAACATCTGCACTGTGGTCATGCCCTGATTTATGGGTGGTTGTTCTTTTTAAATCTTTGATCACTCCCTTGCATTTTGTCTTACTCAATGAACATGTAGATTATTTTCCTGTATACATATAGACTTACCTTTCATCCTCTACATCAAAAAGGAATTATGTTACACAGTGGTTGTATGGGAGAACATGATGCACATGGTCAAAATATTTCATCAGTAACAAAAGAACCATACAGAATATTTTCAAAGATCCTATTTCTGATTATTAATGTGTATTAAACTGAGAACAAATATTTTGACCACTACAATGTCCTGTAAAACAATCCTACAGTTTGAATAAGTTAGATTTCAAACTTAAATAAATGTTATTAGGAGTTTATTTGACCAAGGTATCAAGAGATTGATACATGTGAATAAGAAGTGAAAATCCTCTGACATGGGAGCTGGCTTGGAGCTCGTCTCCCTTGCTGTGTGTTTCCTGGACGGGGCCGCCTTTTACAGTTGCCTTTTGTATCTCTGCTTCTGTCTCCTTGAACCCCAGTCGGCCTTAGCAGGTGCCGCTCACACTGAGTCTGGTTCTGCTGGAGGTTTCTTCCTGTTAAAAGGGAGTTTTTCCTCTCCACTGTCGCTACAAGCATGATTAGTGTGAGGGATTGTATTTGAGTCAATGAGTCAATGCAATCAACTGGATTTTATTAGATAGAAAACTTCGATTTGACTGTATGATGTGGTTGAACTGTAAAGTGCCTTGAGATGACATGTATTATGAATTGGTGCTACAGTGGGGAGAACAAGTATTTGATACACTGTTGATTTTTCAGGTTTTCCCACTTGCAAAGCTTTTAGAAGACTGTAATTTGTATCATAGGTACTCTTCAACTGTGAGTGATGGAGATGCTGGAGTGTGATTGACTGAGTGTGTGGACAGGTGTCTTTTATACAGGTAACGAGTTCAAACAGGTGCAGTTAATACAGGTAATGAGTGGAGAACAGGAGGGCTTCTTAAAGAAGACCTAACATGTCTGTGAGAGCCAAAATTCTTACTGGTTGATAGATGATCAAATACTTATTTCACACAATAAAATGGAAATTAATTATTTAAAAATCATACATTGTATTTTTCTGTATTTTTGTTTTAGATTCCGTCACTCACAGTTGAAGAGTACCTATGATAAAAATTACAGTTTTCTACAAGCTTTGCAAGTGGGAAAACCAGAAAAATCAACAGTGTATCAAATACTTGTTCTCCCCACTGTTCTCTTACTGGTTGATAGATGATCAAATACTTATTTCACACAATAAATAAACTGAATTTAATTAAATTAATTAAAATAAACAGACAATTCTGATGGTCATTTGCACCCCTCCCCCCAACGGTGTCACTGAAATATAGTCCTATAAGAATCTGCTTTTAGTTTGTGAAAAACCATAAGGAACAGACATGCATACAAGAGCATTTTTTTTTTTGGTCACTTGAGACAAAAGGTTTATTTTTTGACCCACATCTACAACTCTAGGTCACATATAAAACTATTACTGCATCTGACCCAAAAAAATAAAACAAGACTGTTAAGGCTTGGTGGAGGTTCTAAGAGGACCCAAATGCAGAGAGTAGGAGGCAGAGATGAGTTTTGCTGATTTAATTGAAATCCCACAGGCAACAGAAGCAAAGTCCAAAAACAAAAAACACACATAGGGAGCAAAGACAAGATGAAGCAGCAAATCAACAAGAAACCAGCAAGGAGAGGTGGTGTATATATTGGGAACAGAACAAAGAATGGGCTAATGAGCTGATATGGAGCTGGTGTGAGTAGAACTAACTAGAAGGAACCCAAGGGGAAAGGATACAAACACAAGGGGGCAACAGAGAGTAACCCAAGAACTAAACACTGCTAGAAAATAACTGCAAATACAAAGAAACTAATAAAAATAAACTTAAACAGAGGGCTGATATGGAGCAGGTGTGAATATAAGTAACTAGAAGGGAACCAAGAGGAAAGGAAACATGCACATAGGGGTAGCAGAGAATAACTCAAGAATTACAATAAAAAAAAACTGCATAAATATAACACAAAATGGAAATAAAACAAATAAACAAGCAAAAACAGAATAACATAATCAAAGTGGAACTGACAACTTAAAAAGAAACTCAAGCAGAAGTCCACAAGGGGAGAACCTGACAAAAACATCTCCAACTGTGAAACAATGAGCCAGTACCATGCTGTAGTATTACTTTAGTCTATTAAAGGAATAGTACACCCAAAACATGATTAGCCTTCATTTTCTACTCACCCCCATGCTGAACAACACTCTGGAGTACTTTTTTGATATCTCAAATGCATCTGGAGATCGGGGAGGCTTCTTGCTGTCTGCTGACATTCAAATAATGGAGGTCTGTGGCGCCCGAGACAGAAAGGTCCATAAAAGTCCACAAAAAACCTGTCAATATTCCTCCATACTGCTCGTCCAATGTATTCCAAGTGTCCTGAGTGGGTAGCGTCCAGAATTTACTCGAAACAAAGTCATTTAGAATGTTTTTATAGCATAAACAGTAGTGTATAGGATTTCCTGAAAGTGCGTCCCTGCGCGTTCAGGACACTACGGAAGCCGGCAGACCAAACCAGATGAAAGTGCGCATTCAGCGTCTGCTCCGCCGATAATGCAAGCGTAGAAGAAGAAATGTGCTGTTTACCTGTGCAAAGAAAGAAACAACGAAAGAAAAATGTCTGAGGACTTCAGTGTTGAGGAAGAGCATGAGTTCTTTGCCGAGCTGAATGCGCACTTTCATCTGGTTTGATCTGCCGCGGTTTCCGTAGGCTCGTGAACGCACTTTTAAAAAGTGGTCAGTTTGGCATTATAGATGAAGCTTTCTAATGGGCAGCCTTTTAACCAAATGCAAGAGAGCAATAACCACAGCTAGAGTCAATCCATCCATTCGGACCGGGCTTTATCTGTTTTGAAAGAATTGTCATAGTTGAAGTCTAAATTTAATTCAAAATGTTTGGAAAAATTTAAAATTATTGATTGAAAAATAATAATAATAAACACTGTGAATGTAATGTGTGGATTATATACTTATACAATCAATTAAAAACAAATATAAAAGTTTGCATAATATAAAGCATAATATAACTTTCCCCCCTTTTTTTGTACATTTAAGTTTGAGATTTTATTTTTATAGAATGAAATGGACACTCCATTTAGACCCAGTGATAATGACTCAGAAGTCTTAAGTTTCTTAACACCTCCCACTCCCCCTCTCTTGAGCAGCAGCAGCAGCACCAGTAAAACTCTCAGGGGTGTTTGTCCACTGTGCTGGTGAGACTGGTCCGTCTCTCCATGATCGGTGGGGGCTTTTTGTTTAAGCCAATAGGCGGGGAGGAACATTAATGTCCTTCCAGTGTGACCGTGTAGGAGCGGCACTGCGCTCACGTTCCCATCTGAAGACTGCGATGCTGTGACGGTGCGTAAAGTCAAATCGCTCCCCGAGAGAGCGGACAGTTCCTGGGCTTTAAACTTAGCCATTTGCACAGTGCTTTGTTCAATCCCCGCGGAAAACAAGTGTGTTGTTTTTCTTCTCTTTTTTTATACATTTTTAATTTTGGGGGATTTTGCATATAATGCAGATAAGGCGCTCTGTGACCATTTTTTGCTACAACGGGAGTACTGGTTCTGGATACTCTGTTTGCTGAGACTGACCTCTTGCCGGTGAGTGAATAAAGGATGATGAAATATCCAATGTCTTAAACAAACTGCCATATAATAAATTGTAGAAAAACAGGCTAAGACGGTTAACATCATCATATTAAATTCAACACTGAATATACTTCTCTTATATTTTCTTTTAAACCCCGGCTTATTGGATTCTCAGTCCCCCGCTGTGCGCTTTTACGCAGGACATCTCCAAAGAGACACGTATCACTTTCCGTGCGCGAACCGTGATAGTAACTTCATACCCTGACGGTGAAAAAAACTCACTCTGAGCCGTCGGGCTTGAAGCTGTGTAGACACCGTCTCTTCCCAGATGTATGGACTCAGCTGTCGCCTGTCACTTTGGTGACAACTGGTCTGCGCACTCTAACCCTGTCCGTCCACCGCGGGTCTATAGCTGTCAGGGGAGCTGTTGAGTGAGAGGGAATGAGGTCTTACAACACCACAACGACCTCATGTCGGACAATATCAGATTAAAATATATATATTTTTGATATTCTCTAAATTTTTACAATGATGGATGGCGTGAGAACAGCTATGGAAGTTAAGGGCTGTCAAAAAAAGACATTTTACTTGGCCTCTAATCTAAAATGCTTCTTTTGACTGTTTTATGGCCTCTGAAATTACATCTCATAAGCAAATACATTACTCTTTCTACTGTTTTCTGTGCTGTTTCTGAAACTGGGCCAACACTAACACAGAAATGTATAAACATATTTGGTTTCTTGAAATAAAAAGAAAACTAAAACCAGCTGCTTTGCTGGATTTATGACTCCTTACAGACCTCTTAATGATCATAGGTGAATATATCTTATAGGTTTTTCCTTCTAGATGACTCTGGCATACCCTCTAGAAGACATTTGTGGCCCCAGCTGTCAGGGAACTAGCAAAACATAGGAGGACATTGCTGTAATGTGTAACCAAGGATGTCTGAAACAATATTTGGGTCTTACTGACCCACAGCGATTATCATCACAAGCCATTTGGACACTGCAAAGAGGTGCTGTGTGCACAGCTGACAGCAGTCCTGACAGATAACTTAGCTGACAAAGGAAACACTTTTTTAAAGATATTTTTCATCACAGTTTATTTGGACAGATGTAAACACTGGCTTGTTTTTTAAGCAATGTGACAGAAGAAGAAAAAATAACTACCTTAATGGCACAATTAAATGTGTTTTCCAAAAATGAAAGCATTTTTTTTTATGCCCCCTAGTCTTAATTGTAATGATGCACTTTAAATAATTTTCTTTTTAGTAGCTGCTTGTACAGGAACATAAGGGAGACTTTATGTGAAAAAGAGTAAGACACAGAACAGGAACAAGGTGGTGGTGTCACCTAGTGGTCAGATTACAGGCTGACAGTTTTACAATCTTAAAAATCCCAGCATTCATCAAAGTGGGGAATAAGCTCAGTTCTTTTTTTAACAGGCTCTCATGGACCAAAGTGAGTTGAGTTGATATATAATTTTACCTGTTCAGCCTTTGGTTGAACAAATGTTATGTGGTTCCACATCCATGATCTTACAGCTAATGTAAATTCCATAAAGTCCCATAATGTCAAATGCAGCTTTTATTTTCACCAGCTGCATAGCCGGTGCAGCCTGGGTTTCCTACTCCCCAGCTGCCAGCTGCAGTGTTGCGGTGATGTTGCAGAAAAGGCATGCACTTGGAGAGATTTTCTTCTGGGATCTGCTGCAGGTGAAACATTTGTCAGAGCTCTGTGTTAATAATAGACTTCCCAGTGATCATTTTTGCAAAAACTCACTGAGTTCTTGTTATTGTCTCTTATACAATGCCTTTAATCAAATTAAAAGATGCCATTTATAGAATTTCAAGACTTTAGAACTGAGTTGTTTAGATCTCTAACGAGACAAAAGAGGGAACTAAAAATAGGAAACCGTCTCATTGTTTCTCCTGGCGACAGAAATGGAAACGGCTCTGTTGTTTCTCAGTCATCTTGATGTTCACGAGTATTTGCTTATTAGATCTGGACTATATATAGTCTATGGTTTATTTTAAACAACAGAGGTAATTTACAGTACCTTGCTAGTATTTACACCCCTTTAAATTCAAATATTTTTCTCGTCGTTATGAATGAATCTTCATTTATTTACCTGAACAGTTTTGCAAAATAACACACTCTCAGTCAGTATTGATATAAAATATCTCTGAAGATTTAATATTTCTACTGACTGGACTTTGACTGGTCCATTCTGGAGTGCATGAACTCCACTGTATTTCTTCCTCCCCAGTCTCATGACTATGCAGCCTCAAACAGGTTTTCTTCCAGGTTTTCTTCCATTTAACCATTTTTATCTTCAACTCTGAGCAGTTTGCCTGGTTCTCCTAAAAGTGAGCATCCCACTGTATATTATGCTTATCCTCCCACTATGGTGAGAGATTTCTGAAAGTGTTTTCACCAGATGCAGAATTTTACATGTGGGCCATAAATTTTTATTTTGCTCTTATCTGGCTGAAGCCCCTTCTTCAGAATATTTTTATGTTTCTCCTGCGCAACATGCAGCTGACTTTAGACAGTTTTTTTTTTGGCTTCTTTAATAAGAACTTCCTTAGGCCAATAATTATAAAGACCAAATTTAATATGCACAAGACTGACAGATGTAGAGAGATTCTCCTACCTGACCAGGACATCAATGCAAATCCTCCTGAGTTATTATGGGCCATTTTTATTTTTTTACCTGTCAATTTAGGTAAACAAATATGTCATTTTATTTTTATGGCTATAAAATACAAATTTTATCCTCAGATGATAGATTAAGGAGTACTAAATAAAACATTCAAAGCCTCCCTTTAACCTCTCTGCACCCTGACCTGCATGATCCTGATTGCTATGGCTTTTTTCCTAAAAATAAATACAAATACAAGCCACACTTTTAAGATAGTTTTTTTGGAAATGAATGCTTTTTCACTGAAATATCACATAGAATTAAGATGGAATAAGTAAAAAAAATGCATTCGTGTATTATACAATGTGACAAGTTCATGCTTATGAAAACTTTAGTGGTTTAAAGTTGGGACACATATTTTAAATACAAAGTTAAAATATAAAACAGCTGCACAACTGTGGAGACAGAAAACTTGAGGGTTGTCGTTTTGTGTATTTTCCCTTTGACATGGACAGTGACAAACCTGTCTAGATGTATGTGAGTGCAAGCACTTAAGGCAAGACACAGCCGGTTTTGAAAGGGTAGAGTGTAAGACCTGGTACCAGTGTGTATACGTTCGCCACTGTTGATTTAAATGGTCAGTGTAGATGAAGTATTCACAGAGGCCTGTTTGTGCAGGGACAAAATGAATCACCTTGCGTTTCATGTAAATCGCCTGCAGGCCAAACACTGTGGCAGCCTTTCATCCCCTAGACGTGCTCCGGCTTACCGCAGCGAGGCTAAAAGCAGACCAAGACAGGGCCAAGTGTTGTGAGGAGCTGTCAGAGGAGGCCGGTCCCCCCACGGTTCTGGACGATGAGCTGTGGCGTAGAGTCGAGTTGCCACAGACAAACTCCAGAGGGCCAAGCCCGCTGACTATAAACTGTTTGGGGTAGGTTGGCAGAAGGCTGGATGAAATATGGCTTGTTTAAACGCTGGTGGTCCCTGTATGTGTAGTCACTGTGCCTTGCAGCGTGCATGGTGGCTTGGATGGTAAAAATGTAGGACACTCTTACAGTGTGGTCGTTTAGAGTGGGGATGACTGTTGTGAACCAGTTCTAACTTTGTACTTTCATTGTGTGCGAGAGACTGAGTGGGGCTTGCCTAGGGCGGAGGCACACACTGGATCCACATGCTAAGCATTATTCTGAAGTGATTAAAAGTAGCTATGGTTACTTAGCGCTTCCAGGCACAACTGTGTTTATGAGGAGCTACAGGATGGAGCTAGAGGAAAATGGGTTTGGCTCAGCAGATTTCTTGAAACCACACAGCATAATTGCGGGACCAACCGTCAGACCACCGCGATGATGAAAGTCATGCTCGACGCACATGTTTCAGTTTCACCACCATGTATAAGCATGATGTTCAACTCTGGATGTATACTACTTAATAAGCATTGGCGCAGCTCTACAAAGCTGCTTATCACTATTATTATATCTGTATTTGATAAAGGGGAATAACAGACATAAAGATGTGTCAGCGATAAAGATTTGGGAAGGTTTTTCTAAACTAAGCTGACTCAGAAATGCTAAATGAAGGACATGTTTTCCCCTCCACCTTCACTTCATTCACTCAGATATGTACAACAACTCTCTCAAATTTATCAAAAACATCTCAATGATCCAAAGCAAAATAAGACTAACAAAACACAAATTTAACTTTTTGAAAGGTGTGCATCCTGTTATATGTGGTATAACAAAAGCACAACATTACTTGCAAAAGAAACGAAAGCACATCAGCAAGTCTACTTCTCAATGACTCAAAAAGAGAATCCTGTGAGGTGGCCTAGTTAAAGTCCTGGCTGTGATTTGAATGCATACTAGTTTATTTGCCTCAATGGATTAAATGAACATATGAAAACTTTGTATGACAGTAAAATGTCAAAAGATTCTTAGTATGACACAAAGACCAAAACAGAGTCAAATTGAAGGGGGGGATATTAAAGAAATTGAATCTCAAACCCCAGTATAAGCATTAAAAACCGTTTTATATTTCTCCACTATAGAGCTGTGGATCCAGCTCAATGTTCAGGACCTTGAGAGTAAAATATGCTAAAAACGCACTTTCCATCCCCTCTTAATGTGACTCAGGGCTCACCTGTGTTTGCTTTATTACAGGGTTTGCTTCAGAAATAAACTGTGCTGGTTAGGGGAATTTTGGACAGAAAAGAAAATAATGTTTTGTGAGTTTTTAGAAACAGGTTAAAGTAGCAGCGTTAAGGGATAGCGGCTGGATTTCAGTCAGTGTATTACCTATCTTCTTATTTGTATTTTATCTGTGCATATTGTCATTTGTTAGGCTGATAGATTTTAAACTAGTTTTCAGTGATG